ACCTCCTGACATAATTCGGTGAAATTATTCCTCCAGTCGTGTTAATAACACACGCGTGAGGACTTCTTTTTTTTTTTTTGTTTTACCTTATACGGTTTTTTCTCATATACAATGTTTTACTGTAATACATTTTCATAATGATGTGAGTCAAATTAACGAAATTGCAATTCTTATCTGGATATCATTGATTATTATATCTACAATCATTCATAAAATGATTTAATTTAGATATATTTTTCTATAATCATGAATTTTTATTGAATAAAAGAAATCATCGTTGAAATATTGTTTTGAAACTTTTTAACTAAATTTGTAATTCTAAAAAGATATATATTTGTATATAATATTTAATATTATAATAATAAATATGTAATATTAATTATAATATTATATAAAAATAACAAAATATGTAATATTAAATATTACAACTTTTACAATAATAATAATAATAATAATAATAATTACTAATATTGATTTATTTTAAATACGAAATAAAACTGGAAAATTATAATACCAATTCCTATTATAAATTTCTAATTATAATTTCTAATTATAATAAAATTAATATTAAAAGTACGAAATATAATAAAAAAATTCTAACACCACTTACTACCTAATCCAAATAATTTCTAATCAAAATCTAATAACATTATAATTAATATCTCAAATAAATACGCATACGAGAAAAACAATAAAACCCTGATAAATAATCATCCGATAATATCACGAAAATTCCTATTCCAAAAAAAAAAAAACATATTCGTCTATCTTCATGTTATATCAGTAGTAGTAGTAGTAGTAGTAGTAACAGTAGTAGTAAAGTTCTAGAAAATACTCACATTCGACTTACTACTTTCGATAGGTGTTATCAGTGAAGAAGAGGAAAACAAGGGGGAGTATCAGGAGTTCTAATTAGTCGTCGAAGAAAACGTAATACGTTAGGGTATATAATCTTATCTCATGTAAACCTATATATACGTAAGTTCTCAGCACACAGGAACGATGTTTCCTTCTTTTATCTTCAGCTAGTTGATCTTTTAGCGTAATTCGGTCGGACATGCGCATGCTCAAGCACGTGTATATATATATATACATATATTTACTTATACGTTTACATATACTACCTTTTTCCAAGTTTTATCAGAAATTCTTTATCATTCCGACATGACAAACACAATACAAGTGCGACCCAACTTCTCAACTTCCTCTCTCATTTTCTTTCGATTTCATTTCCAAAGCAAACGTCGTCGGTCAAAGAACTCACACACAACCGTCATTTTGTTCACTAACAATGTTTGTTATACCAGACAGAGACCGTGAGGAATGTATGCATTATATCATTACGAACTATTACCCATTACATAGCTCGTTACACCGTATATATCGTATATTATCCTAACCTAACGTTAATAAAAAAAGTCAACTTTCTTTCTCTCTCTCTCTCTCTCACTCTCTCTCACTTACTCTCTTTCTATCTTTTTCTCTTTTATTCATTCACTCTCATCGTCTTAAACCCCTTTTGCCACTGATGAGACTCTCGTTCTATTACCATGCACGATCGCACTTTCTGCACGTTTTCCTCCTGTTTGTATACGTTTATATATATGTGTGTGTGTGTATGTGTGTGTAAATCAATCTATATATACAGGGTGATTCACCAGCACTTGTCACTTAAATAGTTCTGAAAGTTATACAGTAGCAGAAAAGTTGTATGAAAAATTCATGATTATAATATGACATTAGTATTTTTGTCCTAAGTTCAGTCATTTTTAAGATTTATTACTCAACTTTGTTTTTTTTTTTTTTAATAGGATTCGTCTTGTCATCCGCTATCCGAAAATTAGTATTCAAATAGACCATTGTATTTAAAAAAAAAAAAAACAAAACAAAACAAAGTTGAGCAATAAATCTTGAAAATGACTGAACTTAGGAAAAAAATACTAATGCCATATATTGTCGTCCTGAATTATTCATGCAACATTTTTCATTAGCCACTTTTTAAACTTGTGAAATTATTTCGGTGACAATAACTGATGAATCACCCTGTATATGAAGTTATCTACTATGGCTATGTGTAAGAACTATTTAATTTTGTAGCTAAATAATTCGAGTGATTTACGGGCGACATGAAACTCGATGATCGAGACGATAGTTCAATATCGGTTCAGTTTATTGAAAATACCTGTCCAACCTTCGACCACATTATTTAACGTTTTTATAAGGATAATGTAATGAAGAAGAAGAAAAAAAAAGAGAGAGAGAGAGAGAGAGAAACGTTGTTATTATTTTTGTCTTCTTTTGTTATTATTTTAATAAGCTATTCCGATCGTTGTCGATAATACAAGTAGCGTTTTTCAATGTACATTGATAATTAAACGATTCCGTGGTTAGTCATCCTTGATAACATAAAAATACGTTAAGTGTTGATAAAAAAAAAAGAATCAAATGTTCGATAAATAATATTTTACACAATACTACGCAATAATAACAAACGTGTTTCGAGTACTATTTCTATTATTAAGAAATTTCACAGTGAATTATGATAAATTTTATCTACAATGAAAATAAATAAATATTTAAACACGGTGTATTAATAAAACTAACACTTATATTTAATAATACTAAGAAAAATAATATAATGAATCAGTACTTTTCMAAAAAACAAAAACAACATATTATTATTATTATTATTAATTGGCATTAGGAACTCGAAAGTTCATTGCCGCAAATACCAAATCCCGCCATTGTTCCCGTCCCTGAGCGCAATTCTTCCATTCGCGTTCTTCGCATCCTATTTTTTTCAGGTCCCAAAAAAACAACATATATACATACATACATATATATATAAAAGAAAAGTGTATTTAGTTGTTTTCTTTCTATTAAATTATCTAGATTAGATATTCTATCTAAGAAGTAAGTTTAAATGCATTTATCATACACGATGGTTAATATCAAATATCGAGTGTGTTAATTTTTTCCCAAAAACAAACAAAAAAAAAAACAAAAAAAAATGATCAAAAAATAAATATAAATGAGGAAACTATTTATCATGTACATAATCCATTCTCTTTTATGTTCACTTTAGTTTTTTTTTTTCCTTTTTTTCAAATTACTACTTGCCAGTTTCCATCAGAAGCCAGTTTAAACGCTTTGTTCAAGAAAGCACGTGCACGATTTATGAATGTGCATATACGCGTTTACATATATATATTTATATATATATGCGGGTCACTTTCTCCAAAGCCAAGTAAATCCAAATAGAACAAAGTAAATCAAAGCAGAACATAATAGAACATAGAATTGAACTGAGTTGAACAGAACGGTGCAACAAAGTACAAAACAGTGCAATGCAATGGAGAACACACACAACACACATACATGTATATATATATATATATATATATATATATAATGTCGTGTTTAAACGGTGTAAAGCACATGCTGAATCGGCTATTACGCAATCAGCACCGAAACCTTTCTCCGTAACATTGACTTTTTCGAACGTAATTGGCTCGAGCGCGCTCCGATTACTAATCGACGCCACGGTGAACGTGACACACATTCGATTTTAACCTCGACGAAGAGACAGAGAAGAACGAAACACGATTCCGCGTATTTTAACAGACCAAAATGTTTGTCTCAAATAACAATGTGTATTATAGTCTATTTACTTTTCTTCTAACCGGTGTTTCTTTAACTAGTATAATGTGTGTATTTCTATATACACCAATATACATAGGATAATATTTGAATAGAAAAAAGTGACTTGTATATATATATATGTGTGTGTGTGTGTGTGTATGTGTTAAATGAAATAATTCGATTTAAAAATCTCATATTAAAATAAATTATTAATCAACAAAGTTGTTGTATTACATCTGTAAACGTTACAAATACAATAAATGTTTGAATATAACAAATTTATCAAAATGGAGTAGGTACAATTGTTTCTATTTGTTAATCGGCCATTATCGATAACTACTAACGGTGAGATAAAAATAAGAAAAAAGTAAGCAAAAAAGAAATTGAACACAACTGGGCTTCTCTTCTCTTTTTACGATCTTCTTGGATGAGTCCCGCGTCCTCTTGAAAGAGTGTGCCCTCTCATCGGACGCCATTTTTTTTTTGTCCACAAGCACTACCTTCGTCAAAAACCACCGTAACGACGATCATAAAAATGATTCGAGGAAAATTCTAATTCTTCCTTGTTTCGTAATAATGTTTGTCTAAGACTATAAAAAAAAAAATAAAAATAAAAATAAAAATAAAAATAACAATAAAATGACAAGGAAAAAGGTGGTGCACCTTTTGAAGGTATTCAGGAATGTGTGCGTTTAAGTCGTTTTACGTGTTTTTCTAGATTATAAACGTTGTCTTTGATATCTGCCATCGAAATAACTATAAAACTTTACCTACTTTGTATTAATACGATGATAGAGTAGTTTTTTTTTTTTTTATATTTTACAGGAAAACGAAGCTTCTTCGAAAGAGAATCCTATATATATATATATATATATATATACACGTAACGAGGCCAATGCACTGTTAATCGCTTACGAAAAGTACAAAAAAAAAAAGAAAAAAAAATTAAATGATCGAGAATAAGCGCGCGAGTTTCGAAAATATGTATTTACCTTCCAATCAACATCTCTACTCTTCGTGATATCGTGAATAACGCAACTATCATGGCGGTCGTAGCTTGAGGTAAGCTTTTGTGCAACAATGTTATTGGATACCATTTTATGAAACTTATATTTAAAAAACAAAAACAAAAAACAAAATAAACTAAAAAGAAAATAATTAAAGAACACAAGAAAAAAAATATACAAATATATATATATATGTATATGTATACGTTTTATAATATTTGTAATACTTTAAGAATATATATATATATATATATATGGCAAACGATATAACAATAGATAAATAATAAAAATTATTAAATGCATATTATGTATATATATATAAAATAAAAATATTTAAAAAAGAAAACTTACCAACACCGGTCCTTCCGTTGCACCGCTTAGATTTCCGTTGCTAAAAATCTCGAGAAGAAAATGCGATTGTTTCCTATCTTCACTGTTAACTTCACTTCGTAGCACACTTATATTATTGTATATATATATATGTATATATGCACCTAATATGTATCCGTTTTTATTTTGTCCCTTCGCGTATATACGTATACGTATATTATTGCATTTTGACGAGAGAGACCGAAGCGACCGTACAGTACGTTAATATATATACTTTCTTTTATTTTGAAAATTACAAAAAAAAAGTAAAAAAAAAAAAAAAAATGACGATGACAAAAGCGAACTCCTCGACGAGGTTTATCAAAGCGATGCAATTTTTTCGCTAAGGAAAAAACGAATAAACAATGATAAGAACATAGAGAGAGAAAAAGAGAAAAAAAAAAGTCGAACGAAGCGAAGGGGAAAAAAAATAGCCGCGACGACGCCGGCCCTGGTCTGACGTTCAGATCACTGACCAATACCACTCGAAGCTGACGCGATACTGAGCGAGCGCGTATCTGGCAAGCCCGCGACAACCGGCTCTGAACCATTCGGCTATCTCCGGCCGGCGCTCGGTTAACTTCGGCTGCATGAACCTACACGAAAATGCTTGCTGTTCTCCACCACCACCATCACTACCACAGTATCTCCGACTGTACTCTCGTCGTATGTCGTGTATACCATAGGAATATACGTGTGTATGTGTGTGTATGGGTATTTATATACGTTAAAAGAGTCTACATCGAGATAAATGTGAACGTATGCGAAATATCCCTATGCGTGTATGCATCCAATATATGCCGACGCGTCCGAAGGGTATAGGTACGCCCACGCAATTTTGACTTCACTGTACAGAGATCTCTAGGGACTCTGTCCTTACGGCAATATCAAGAAAAAGATCTGCTCTCTTTTATTTAATTTTGATTTTGAAAAATACTTTTTTCTTTTTAAACAATTACTATTTTATTATATATATATATATATATATATATAAATGATTGACTTTTATATAGTTAACTTTTTACTCGGTACAGTGTAACCTATACACCATATAAGTATTAAATGTTTTTTTTTAACACCCTATGTATAATTCGTGTATTTTATTATTCTAATATAATTAGAGTGCATTAAAATATTAAAATAATTGTTAATTAATCGAAAGAAATGTGTATTGTTATTGAAAAACACCAAGTATATAATCGGAGTACCGTCATCCTCGAAATTTACCTTCAGACTGACAGGTGGTCATCTATGAAAATTCTTAGATTAAATGTTGTTTATATGACTTTTCGAACATTACGCATGTGCATAAAGAAAATAATTCACCTAATTAATAGAATTTAAAATTATAACAGCGTAATTCAAGTATTTTTTTGCATTCTAATGTAATTATTTTGACGCACATGCGCAATGATGACTACGTGGTTCAAATTTTGCCGTAATGTAAGTAGAATGTATTAGAGTGTTCAAATAACTTGTTAAATAACCAAAAGGAATGTATATTGTTACTTAAAAATACATATATATATTTATATATAAAAATATATATGTGTTTTATGTGTATATGTGTGTATATACATAAAAAAAAAATCGAATTTATTTTGTCATTACAATAAACCTTTGTTACCAACGAGACGCCTTCAAATACTTTTGTCGCCAATTCTCTTTTGTAATTCATATACAAGTATATATTCAATAATATTACAGCACTGTTAAAAAATGTTTGGAACGAGACGTGATGTCTCTTACAACATCGATTAGTTATTTCTTCTTTACATTTCTTATTTTTTTTTCTTTTTTTGTACTAACCTGCTACTGGAATTCTCCCCACCTACACTCCTTCAGTCTCGAGTCTCATGCATATCAATGTTGTACAGTAGCCGGATCTTCAAATTAATTGTATAAACTGTTACAAGTATACTTAAGAGTCGTAATAAATAAAAGTTACATGATCAATGATAATACTTGTAGGAAATGACAATTTGATCGATATTAACGATTAGAAAATAATATTGAAATTATCGTATGTTATCGATACTGTTATTTAAATCATGTCTCGTACGAATGAATTGTGCAAATGAATGCATGGATTTGATAATAACAGAAAGTTATTCGAGAATATACGTGACATAACGTAACATCAAGGCGTATAACAAAATTACACGGCATTACAAGCAATCCTGACGTTGAGTACAATATTCTAGTATGTAATAGAATGTAAGAGAGATCACATAGACATCTAAGTCGTGAAGTTTGTGATCTTAAAAGCTAATAAAATAAAGATCGATGGTTGTCGATAAAAAAAATAAAATGGAAAGAGTACGATCAAAAATACAAATAATATCTGTTTAAGTATTCATCAATTTCAATGAACCTGTATCACTATATGACGTACTGTAATGTCATATTTTTTTTTATATAAATAAAAATGTCCAACGTTATAATGCAGTAAATATTTGATTAAATACATTCTTAGAAATGACGAGAAAAAAATTAATTCAAAGATAACACGCGATCATAAACGTCATCGACAACCATCCAAGTTTATCACGTTGTCACGTGATTAACCAACCCCTTTGGTGTATGTATAGGTAGGGTAACTTCACAATTCTCTCGAGATACGAAACTTTATTAAAACTAAATATAAAATTGTTAATTAGATTGAAAGAAAATAAGAGGGTTTTAGACTTTCGTATTAAACAAATATACTATAAAAGTCAAATTATTTCTATCATATGCTATAAATCATATCGAGGAAGATATCGAGTCAATGTATTTTTAGAAATAACGGTTAACAAGAAAGAACAGGTATCACCGTATATATTCACGTATAAGCGACGAAGGTCTGCTTTATGATTAAAGGGTAGGGAAGAGGGATGGGGTGGGGGGATGGAGATGGGAAATATGCAAATGAATTATAAAGTATTAATCGTAAGCACGAAACATGAAAATTCAGTCGTATTCTTTTAGGGCTAAATATAGATACGTGTACGAAGGGTTGAGAAATAAAATAATGTATGTCACGTAAATACAAAAAAATTGCATTATTAATAATTGAATTTTTCATGGTGTATTTATATAAGTTTTATATGATACATAATAGAATCTTCTAACTTTGAAAATTTGCATAAGATGTTAAAAAACCGATTTTTAGGTTATATTATTACTAGGATTGTTTTTACATAACTCTTTTCTTTTTTTCTTTTTATTTATTTTTTAATTTATGACAAATAAAATAATAATTTATAATTAATAATAAATTAAATATAATGAATAATAAATATCTATAAAAATTCTTCGTTTTATTGTACCACCCTAAATATCAAATATCTGTCGCAAAATCAACGAACAAATTTTTTGTAGAAAATATTGAAGAAAATAAACATAAAAATAAAATTATAATTTATTAAAAAAAAAAATAATATTAGAAAAAGTTGTGTTAGTTTAAAGAAGAATTGAGGCCAAACGCGTTCTCTTATGATCGACGTTCAATTCGAACGAACGAACGAACGAACGAACGAACGAACGAACGAACGAACGAATGAACGAACGAACGAACCTAAAGAACGAAGAAACGAACCGTGAGTCCGCGTTCGTGAGATAATTATGGAAATGAATTTCGATCGTTATGGGGGCGTGTACTTACGGGCTTCTCCGTGACACGACCTAACCTCAACCGAAGAACCAGGAGGAGGGTCAGCAGTCCAGCGTAATTTTCTTCAACAATTTTCGTGCCTTCGTAGCGCAAAACGTTCACCATAGGTAAGTACACGTACGTACGTAACTACTTACGTTGTACACATGAATCCGAACGGTATGTAAGCATGGTGTTACCTAGAACGAATCACCTTTCTCAATAATCTCATATCCTACCGGATATATATATATATATTTTACAAATCTTTTTTTTACATGAATCCAATTGGTTCATAATTCGCTAGAATACAATTGGAATTTTAGATTGAAGATGGAGGGTGAAAGTATTTAGGTATTTGAGTCATGTTAAGCGCGGATGCGACACGATCGTTTAACAGCAACATCCGATGAGATTTACTGACGATTCTCACGCATGTAACCCATGGAAAAGAGAGAGAGAGAGAGAGAAAAAGAGAGAGAGAGAAGGATAAAGGATAAAAAATAAACTCATACGTATTACAAACTCGCATTTGCACAAACACGAAAGAGTTGTATACGATTATTTTCAAACAACGTAATTAAATTACTTTCAAGATTTACCTATGACTACGTACATACATAGAAAATTATTTGTGTAATTATTTTACATTTATAAAACGAAATCGAAAGGAAATTTGAATAATCGTGTATAACTTTTTCACTTCAATCAAATATAAATAGTTTTTTTATACAACTGTTTCAAAAATGAATGCCCCCCCCTCCAAACGTTAATATTATTCGATTAAAATGTTATATTTGTATGTAACATTGAATGATATTTCTTCCGGTTGTTCTCATGAATTCATCGAAAGTGGACGCCTACGTGTATATATATTTAAATACATAGAGCAGAGATATATATAAAAGGGTGTACGCGAGAATGAACAGATATCGAAGAGGTTGTTCTTGCTGCTGTTGAATACTCTGGCGCTTTCGGTACCGTTATCGTAGTTAATCCTTACTTTAAACCAGTCACACGAGAAAATCTTACGTTCGGCAAAATTCTAAGTGGTGCGACTGGTTTATCATTGGCGACGATGGTTTATTTAAACTCGAAAGCCGTCAACGATGGAAAAGTCGTCAAGCTCGATTCATCTTCAACGATAATAATATATATATATATATTATAAGATACATCTCTTTTCCCATTGGTGTTCATCCATGCATAAGCACGATTTCCTTGATTTTGCGAATCAGCTTATCTACGGCAAATTCTTTGACCCCCGCGTAATCACCTGCCACAGCAACTTGGCACCGATCGCTTCAATGGCTTCTTGACAGACTACAACACACCAGAGAGAAACCTGTTTGTCATGTACCTCTCGTTCTCTTGGATATATTAACAGCACTCTCTTGCTCGCGAGCAATGGCTTGCACTTAAAGGGAACTGTGTTGTTGTTGTTGTTGTTGTTGTTGTTGTTGTCTGTTAAATATGCAACGCAACCAACAAACGTCGTACGCGACAATAGAAAGAACTTATCGTCTCGACGAATACGTGTAACTCCTATCTCTATCTTCCCTTTTATACAATATTCAATAGTACAATTTGTTTGCATTATAAAATGTTTCTTTCCCTTTTTGTTTTTTGTTTTTGTTTTTTTTTTCAAAACTTGATCACATCTCATTTATCCCTCTCTTATATATGAAACCGATTAAAAACAAGAAATCGCGATTAATATCCGACAAAAGTCAAAAGTATAACCATAATCCGCGTAATTTCGCTACGTAATAATGATTCTTCCTTTGGAGGAGGCGTCTCAAGGTCAAGAAACGGCGGAAGTGGTCACGCACGAGTAAAATAACCGACAAAAGTTTATACGCACTAGGTTTATTAGACGTGTACTACAGGAACATTATTCCTCTGTTCCTTTTATAAAGTAGATCGAACAAGTTGGATAACAACCCCCTCTGCGTAAGATCGGTGTTCAAGGAAAGATAGACGACTACTACTATTACTACTACTACTACTACTACTACTACTACTAGTCTAACTATACTTCGATAATCGTAGAATGTGTCGTCGTGTTGAAAAGGCAATAGGCATTTCGTCACACGTCTTGATTCTCTCACATCTTTCTTTATTTATTTCTTTTTACGTATGCGTGTGCACACGCGAGAATACGAATGGCAAGGGGGTTGGGTGGGAGGTAAAAGAAAAAGGGCACGTCGACGAAACGACGAAGATATCGTAAAGGATCAGCAACGTAATGTGTGCACACACGTCGAAGCAAAAGCCTGGCTACCACCACAGTCAGGTTAGCAACCTTTATTTGCATACCGTATTATTTTCTGCTTGTAAAACCGAACAACCGGCGATCCGGTCAGTCAGCGGGAGAAACCTTCGAGACAACCGCCGTCCTTCTCATCCTCGAAGTCGAGTATGACGTGAGGCCTCTTCTAGTATAATTTTCCATAAGAGAAAATCACATATAATATTATTTATGAATTTTCCAAATCTTAAATTTAAAACTTTGTTTCATTATTTGTCAATAATAAAGAATTATTTAATCAAAGTTTAAACCTCCACTCTTTTATCGATGACAGGTTTTAGAAGATTTTAATAGGACACTTCGATTATCCCAAAGAGACCGTTAATGACAAAACTAGCATAGGGTTCATCGACGTCCAATCAATAATTTTCCATCCTTCTTCTTAAGTTAGACGCACATCATACAGTATTGTTGGCGTTGCCGCTTCACCGGTAATTACTAATTACAGGCTTTGATAGAAGTCACGGCTCCGGAAGTGAGCGTACCACCATGATACCTAACACGCTACGACGTACATTTAATATATCTCTCTCTCTTTCTTTTTTTATTTTTCTTTCTGTCTTTTTCTTTGCCAATATCACCTAATATAGAAACATCTTCGATCGCTGCCAGTCAACTAACCCTTTGGTTCGATCAGGGTACTACGCTCTTTGGACCTTTGACATAAAAGCTTGGCTTTTTTTTTACAGTAAGTATGATAAAAGTATTTACACACTCATGTATATAAATTTTATATATATATATATAAGTAATACAAATGTGGTATATTATAAAATAAAAAAATTTAATGTAATTTAATTTTCATCCACATCCACATATTTTTAATAATATTGTTGACTAAAGTATTTTACTAACTATCAAAATGGCGGGAAAAAGCAATTACTTATATTACAAATTATATTATATCTAATTATAGTAATAGTATAAATTAAAAATGAACAAATCATCTAAAGATATTTATTTTGAATGACAATACATCTTTCAATGTATTCGTGACGCCTTCATTCGACATTTTGGCGTTATTTAAATTGAATAGATTTAACATAGTTAATCTTCTTCATGATCACCTAGCATTTGAACTTTCTTAATGGTCTCTCTATCTCTCTCATTACTTTTACAATTATTAGCATACGTTGAGGAAACGTCATCGACGTTTGATTATCGCATCTCGATCATCATATTGAATCTTCCTTCTAAATAATATCTCATGCATCATCGCGTGTTCATTAATCATACCATTTAACTGTGGTATCAATTGCGCGACGCCATTTTCCTTGACCCAAATACGCAACATTTACAATACATTCCACTCATTCTTTAAAACCTTTTATAGATATTGGTTCATTCGTTAACCCTTTACACTAGAAATACCAATCTCACTGAAACGTGAAAATATTTGTTTATTTATAAATACTTGTTTCAACATATTATCAAGTACTCTCAAATTATACTTATAAATTAATAAATGATATAATAATGTTTATTACACAATGACTATGAGAGTATAATTTAACGTAATTCACGTGTAAGAGGTTAATAAATAGTTCTTCTCTATATATATATATATATATAAAAGAGTGATAGATAAATTTCTTTGTAACATAATCGATCACGTGCCGAATGACGATTTCGTTTGACGATGCGTAACTCGTCGTATCGTATCTTGTTTGATAAAATGGTCAGATAGATATCGTTGCCAAGAGAGATACATGAGGAAAGTTAATAAAAAGTATTGAAAGTCACAGTAGTAGTGCGCATAATTGTGCAAAAAGCGACAGTGGATCGATTTCTTCGTCGTACCACGACTTGTACGGGTTCCCATAATAAGAAAAGAACTTGTCATGGGCCGCAGGTGCGAAAGATGCGAGAAAGCGAGAGAAAGAGATAGACTTCATCCACTATTACTGTTCATGTCCGTTGTAGCTAGAGTGTTCAACGATAACCGGTGGCTAGCCTTAAACGACTTACCTAAAACAACAATTTAATGGTCACTGATCGACGATGTTGCTCGCTTGTCAACGTCAAGGAGTTAGTATCGTTTCAAGCATTCCCACGTCGATACTACTTGACGTCGTCCTTCGTATATATCCTCTTCGTACCAATGAACAGTGACAATGTACTCTTGCAGTTAAAATCACCTTTTCCATCTAAAATCAATTTTTTCTAACATCAAACTTCACCAATACGATGACAAGGAAGATATATCATAAACGAGATTAATCTTACAATATATTTTTTTTTCTTTTCTTCTACCTGATATTCATTTATATATGCTTCTATGTATTTTTTAAGTTCCTCCATTATTTTTTAACTATATATATATATCATTTTTTAGATCTATTATTATTCTTTATAAAAAAAAACAATTGTAAAAAATCTTAGGACAAGCTACTATTTTTAAAAACACGTATTACGTGTGTATATATATATATATATATATATATATAGATTATTTCATATTTTCGCGCTCGCCATATTTAAGTATCATAAAAGTTAAGAACGTCTGGCGGTAAACCACGGAACGATGAAACCACAATATTATTCGTTTAAGTCGTATCTACATGCACTTTTACTCATTGGTAGGTGAATACATTTTTTTATATTTAAATTCATTCTTAAATAAAATCTTTTTAAATGCAAATTAATATAATTCAAATATATAGATAAATTTGAATATAATTTTATATTAACGATTATTTACATACTAAAGATAAAAGTACATTTTTAAATTGAAGTAAAGGAAATGATATATAATGCATGTCTACCAATCACGATTTTTCATTTCTAAAATTATATTGGAAATGGTTGCAATTGTAATATAATAAAAAAAAAATCCTATTTTTTTTTCAATTATTATCAATATTATTTTAATCGCATTAAATACGTGAATATAATGCAAGTTATGATAAAAAGTGTACGTTATTTAAAAAAAAAAAAAGAAAAAAGAAATTACCGTTGAATATAGAGGGCGTTGAAATCGGATTTCAACTCATCCAATTTCATGAAGTTGGTAGAACTGCATAAACGACACTCAAATGACTACGTAGTAAGTATTTCTCTGGTAGCCGTTCTTTCTACCACTCAAAATGGCGGATCAGGTACGTATTCTGATATTAGTTCTCTAATTAAGCAAAAAAATATCTTTTATTAATGTTTAATATTATAAAATTAATAATATTTTGTCAAAATAATTATATTAAAAGTAATTATTTATAAAAAAAAGTGTAACTTAGTCAAATAAACTACAGGTACAGGTTAAAAGTTGTCGTCGCTGCACGTGGTTAAGGCGTTATATATTTATAAATGCATTCTGTTTCAATGCAATCAATATATATATATATATATATATATATATACTATCCAATTAATAATCGTTTCTTTTTTTGTTTAAAGAAAGATTATGTGATTAAAATTTAATATTTAATTACAGAATGAACGAGCTTTTCAAAAACAACCCACGATCTTTCTTAACCGTAAGAAAGGTCTGGGACCCAAGAGGAGGAAGCCTATGAGATACTACCGCAATATTGGACTTGGTTTTAAAACACCACGTGAGGTAAGATCACATTTGTTTTCTATTTTTTATTTATTTTTTTTTTTATTTTAAATAAATATTATGTTATTTATTCATTTATAGGCTATTGAAGGTACATACATCGATAAGAAGTGCCCATTTACTGGAAATGTTTCCATCAGAGGACGCATTCTTACCGGTGTGGTTCAAAAAATGAAAATGCAAAGAACTATTGTTATTAGAAGGGATTATCTACATTATATCAGAAAATACAACAGATTTGAAAAACGTCATCGTAATATGAGTGTACATCTGAGTCCATGCTTCAGGTACAGTATTATTAAATTATTATATATATATATATATATATATATTTGTAAAGTAGCGTACACAATGTTTCATATGATGATTTTTTAATTCCACGACGGTCTTCTTAAGAAATTATTGAAGATAATGGAATTCTGATAAAGTTTTATTTAAATTTATAAATAATATTGCGTTGATTTAAATGCACTCTTATTAAATATTCTTAATTTTTGTTTTATACAGAGATGTTGAAATTGGGGATGTAGTTACTATTGGAGAATGCAGACCTCTGAGCAAGACAGTAAGATTTAATGTTTTGAAAGTTTCAAAAGGAACTGGTTCTAAGAAAAGCTTCAAGAAATTTTAAAAGTCAGTTTATTAAAATAAGTAAGTATTGTTTTGTTTGTTTCATGTATTATATATAAATGTGTAGATTATTTTGAAGAAAAATATATTTTATAAATGATGATAATCTACGACGGTCTTCTGAATATAGAATGAAAGATAATCAATTGTAAACTGAATTAATATTTTGACATTTTTTTTTTATAATCTAAGTTTTATGAAAAATTGTATCTAATTATTTATTATTATTTTACAGAGTTATACAATTCAACAGGTGAAGAAACTGACTAAGATATATACATCAATAGTTCTACATTTTGGAAATAATGGTATATATTAATTATTACCATTTTTATGTATAACTGAAAATAATAAACAAGTTTGTATTTAAACACATTTTTATTAATCATGTTTTGAAAATTGATGTTTCAATTATTGTAAAAATATATTGAACAGTAGGAATTTAGAAATAGGAAAATGTTAAATTGAATATTATTTAGATATTTGTCTTTTCATTCTTACATAAAAGTTTATCATATCAAAGTATTATTTTATAATGTCATAAATTTTGGATAAAATAGTGTCTAGCAAAAGCACTTATTGTCATAAGTAATTACATTATTACATACAATTTTGAGAAAAACCGTTCCATTTTTAAATATTACAAAATCGTTAAAAAAACAAAGTACAATTCAATATAAAATAATTTAATTTAATATATATATCTTATAAAAATGTGCAGTATAAACCACACTAGATACTTTCGAGTACAAATTAAAACTATATATTCTCTTATTAATAAATATATATATATATGTATATATTATTCATATATAAAGGCACTTTTTTTTAGTAATTATTATTATATCGAGATTCTAATTTTTCATGTATACTTACAAACAGACTTAATTAACACATGCAAATGTTTTTTTTTCATGATTACATTTATACGGTTTCCATTTACATGCTGTTTTCGTGGAATCAGTTACTATATTTCTATATTTTATGTTACTTTAATGGTTTTCTTTAGAAGTTATATACAATATGTATATAATAGGACCAGCTAAACCTAATAATAGAGTAGCTCCCAAAAGTTGAGTCCACGATAACCCACAATCATCACCAGAACATTTAAATGTATCCACAATATGTGATTGTGTTATTACCTCACTTTCTGTAGAATTAAGTAACTGATCGGTTTCTGTTGAATATGTTTCTGATGTGTTATTTGATTTATACGTTGCTAAAGGTTCGCATACTGAATTTAGTATAATATTATTAATTTCAGTTTTAGGAAGATCAATAGGAACAGAAACATTTGTTAAATTTATTAATGGTTGCACTCTTGTAATAGTATCTGATTCAGTTAGTGCAGAATCATCGTTTAATTTTTCTTCTTTTACTGTTGAAGTTTGATCCAAACTTTCTGTTAAAATAGAAAATGGTTGAATTGGCACTTTAATGTGTCTCCGAGCATATATTTCATTCTCTTTATGAATCTTGTTTATTCTTTTTAATTCTGATATCTATAATCAATAATTAATGATATTGAATAGAAAGTTTATTTAATTTTGTATCATTCTTTGAATTTTTATGTATACATACTGTACATCTGTATCGTAGTGCTAATGCTTGCAATGTATCCTCCGGTTTAACTATCACATTTATCACTTCCACTTTCCTCGGGGAAGATGTAGTACTAGTGCGTGTCTGTAAAGGAAAATTTTCTTCATCTCCACTATTTTCGTCATCCGAATAAAGAAATACATAATGGGGAGAACCTTCCTTCTGATTTCCACGCTGATATACCATTTGTGTCTAAATACAAATTGTAAATGTATATTAAAAAATATATTTAAAAAAAAAAATAATAATAATAATAATAATAATACATATCAAAAGATGAAAGACATCATTAAAAGATTATATCAAGATAATTATTTTAATCTTAAATAAAATAGATAAGAATTTCTTTTGAATATTGTTACAAATCTAACCTGAAATCTAAAATATTGTATTCGTATTTAATCATATGCACTTAGTATTAATATTTTATGATCAGTATGTGAAATATTTATAAATGTATTATTATTTTAATAATAATCATTGTGAATTACTTGATATTTTCTTGCCAATGCAATATGCAATACGTTTAATCTGTCAGAGTAGATGACAGATCATCATATATGTATAAGTAAGCAAAGTACGAATCGAGCGCCATCTATGTTACGTTATCGTATTCAATACATAATGTCTATATGCATCGGTAGTGAAACAGTGAATTATTCGTTTGATGCAAACACGTGAATATAATGGATTATCCAGAACATGGGGAGGTTTTAAAAGATACAAGCAGATGTGCTCATCTTCGAGCTCAATTAAAATTATGTCTACTTGAAACGGATTGTTGTAAAAAAGTAAATAATTCAAAGTGACATTTCTAACCTTAAAAATGATTTAATGATGCAATGAATTTTTATAACAATTTGAACATTTTAACCTATTGATTGAATTTTAATACAATAATTTTGTTCTATTTTTAGGAGAAAATCACACCAAGAGAATGCCTTCGAAGTAGACATCCAAGTGTGCCAGATGAATGTTATACCTATATGCAAACATTATTTGATTGCAAGCATTCTATGGTAAGTACATAAATGTAAATTATATATATATATATATATGTGTATACACAGTTGTGGCTCGTGATTTGATATCAATATAGCAACTTTCAAAATATATATATACCAGGTTTTAAAAATAGTATTATCGGTTACAGTCTTGTTGTTGTCAAATATGTTTCTCATTGCAGTTATTTGTTCAGTTTGAAAACCACTTTTCTTTCATTCAATTATTACAGTTGTAAATTGTCTTACAGTGTATATTTTTAAAGAAATTACAAAACAAGGAAAAAACATATCATCAGTGTCAACCAATGCGTTTAACACAAAATGTGTTACGGTCAGTTATAAAATAGTTGGTAATGTATCGTACATGTTATAGTGCTATTTAACAAATCAAGAATTCTTATTACATAAATGGTATATATCTTTCTATATATATATATATATATATATATATATACATTGTAAAACATATGATTTTCTAAAGTTGAGTCATTTGATTCGCTATAATAAAAAGTATAAAACGATATACATAACATCGAACAAAGTTTTTATTATTTTTAGCTTTCAACAACCCTTTGCAATACTTCATAGTTTAACATGTATATATATATATATATATATGAGAGCAATAAGCATAAGAGAATATTTTGATTTAGGATTACATAAAAGTTGTATTTAAAAATAAATATTAAAATAATATCCAAATGAACAAAGTTTGGAACGATGAAAGATGTACTCAGGTAAAAGATATAATTTGATGATACAATTTTCTTTAATTGGTCATTCTAGTTCAAAAATTGAATAAACATTGTTTAATAAATTGAAGATTGTTAGCTTGTTTTGCTTATATATATATATGTGTGTGTGTTTTTATAATTTCTATTATATAAATATCATGCGTGTTATACTTCAATTACTTTAGTTTAACATTTGAAAATAACCCCTTTATTTGATCCTTGTATTTGGTGAAAAAGATGAGCGATAACGTCATCTTTGATTGTTGATTTATTTAAAAGAAATCTGTTATCAATTACCATCATAGTCATTGCATTTAAATTTTCGTAATAAACATTAGTCCTTAAAAATTCTTTTATCTTTTGTAACGTTGAAAAACATCGTTTAGTTTCCGTTGTTAACATAGGAGTGGTCAAAAGTATTTCAATAATCGTAGTAATTTCACTAAGAATATGATGTAAATCGTTATCTATTATAAATTCGTATAAATCATATAATTGATTATAATGATGCATACTGTCGTTATCATAAAATATTTGAAGTTCAGTTTTAAATTTGTCTTTTTTGATCATAGGATATGCTTCAATAATTAATTTCATTTCTTTCATGGGAAATTTATTTTTAAATTGTTCAATATTATTTTTGTCAAATAACGTAGCAGCTGCTAAATGTTTATGAAAATGATTTCTGTGTTGAATATCAGTGCATAGACAGTTACATACTTCTTTAGCTTCAATGATGAGTTCGTTTACAAAATTTTTACAATATTCCGAATTTTTTATTATGTAAATATTATTTTTAAAGTTTTTTATATAATCGTTCACTTGAAATACATTAATCGTAGGTGATAACATTTGATTGTAAATTTTGTCAATGTGTGGCATTATCTGATTATAAAGTTCCAACCAAAATAAGAATTTTTTATTATTTAAATAATGTAAAATTCCTGTAATTTCTGCAATAATTTGATCATTGTTTGACGTTGATAAAATTTCATTAAAACAATCCCGTAATGGTTCTAAATATTCGTAAACTTGTTTCACCGTGTCTATGTTAAATTTCCATCTTTTATTAGGTGGTAAAGAATTACTAATGTTTACGTGTTTATGAAGTATGTTTAAATATTGTGGTGATTTTAAAAAAAATGTTGATATAGCATTAATACATGAGTAACTTATTTTCGAATTATTCGTAATACTTGCTATATTTTTCATTATAAGATTTGGTTGATGAACATAACAATTAACAAAATGTGCATTATTGTAGAATTTTTTGACATTCGTTTGAATAGTCTTTTTTATACGATTCATAAATATTGCACCATCAAATGTCTGAGCTATTAATTTTTCTTTCTTATCTTGAAATATAATATTTAATTGTTCTATAATAATTTGGCTTATGCTTTTTACAGTTTTATCAGTTGGAGTAAAAAATCCCCAAAAACGTTCAATTAATTTATTATTTAATAAATATCGTAAAATAATCACCATTTGATAATGTTCTGTAACGTCAGTTATGTCATCAATTATAACAGCTACGAATGATGTTTTTTTAACATCTTCAATGATTTCATTTTGATATACTTTAAAAAGATAATCAGTCATATTACTCCTAAGTCTTTGAAAGGTTTTATTATCTTTTAAATTTTCTTTTACATAATGTGATTTAATTGCAATATTAATTAATTCGTTAAATTGATTTTGAATTGTCAAATAATTCGTATCATTATTAAATTCATGTAAAGGAATAATCAAATGTCTACAATATATTATACATTCGATTAACTCGTTTAAAATTTTATTATCATTATATGGGACCATTTTGTCATTATCTTTAATAACAGTATTAGAATCTTTCCTATGTTTATTATGTAATTGTTTTAAAAGAGCCAAAGCAACGCCATTGTTGATATGATCAGCCAATTTTTCATGTTTTGCAATTTTGTCATTTAATTTATGTATACTAGAAATTCCCTTCTCTGTCCATAGTTGTTCACCTCCCATTAACAAACATGGATAACAAAACAATGCATTTCTTGTTTCACAACCGCACAACCAATTCTTCATTTCATAATATTGTTTAACTAGCGTAATATCGTTGTAAAAATCATCTTTAAATGTAAAATCGGGTAATGGACGTTTGACATTTTTTAGAAATAATTCTTCGACATTATTTATATGACTTGGCTTTAAATATTTAAAATGTTGTATTTGAATTACAGTTTTGATCTCAGTACTACTAGAACAAACATTTTCTTCAAATTTAGTTATTGTCGTCATAATTGTAAATAATTTTAATAATGATAATTTACATATAATACAACAAACTGTTATCTTTTAAATGTTAATTATAACGTACGAATTATTTGATGTCACATAATGTTATTACGAACACGTAAACTGGTGGATGTAAACAGTGATACTGTGCAATAAATCTCATTATACAGATAAATATATGTTTATGTGGGTATTAATATGACATTGTGTGATAAATATAATACATTCATAAATCAATAAATGTATTTATTTATATTTAACTAGGATTGCCCCGGCACGTGTTGCTGTGGCTCACAATCAGTTCAATAGACACGTGTCTTTAAGTCAACGAATTATCTTATATCACCATCTATTAGAATCTTATCGAACTAACAGAGATAATCATGACTCTTTGTTAATAAACAAATAATTCGTAATAAAATAATATTGCGATTATACATTGAGATCTAAACTATCCTAACTTTCAAGTTGAATGAAACTGCACACAGTGTGGAAAATTTCATTGAAATCGGTTCAGTAGTTTAGGAGTCCATTGCGAACAAACAACGTGACAAGTAATTTATATATATTAAGAAAGATTGGTGCATAATTATCAATCGTATGAAATTTATGCAATTATTCATAATTATGTATTTCCAAAATAATTATATTCACCTTTCTATTATTTAAGGTATTTTAAAAAAAGGTAATTTTTCATTAAAAAACAATGCATAAAGAAAATATTAATTAATTATGTATTAACTTAATTATAATAATTTTACAGTACCACCCCATAAACGAGCCATTTCTGTGTATACACATATATATTTCTATATATTTCTATATATATATATATATATATTTAAATAATACTTGAAATATTCTTTTTCTTTTCTTTTGTGTGTGTTTTATTTTATTTTATTTTTAGTTGGACGGAAGAAGAAGATTTCGAGGAATAAAGGGTTAAATGAATAAACAACGTTTTTCACTTTGATCACTTTTTTTTTTTTGGTGATATGTGAAAACGTATAGTTGTATTTTGTAATATAATAATTTTTCTTGTAAATAATTAAAAAAAATACTTGCATATGTAGATTTGTAACCCTATGAGTGTTGAATATACTTTTATCTAAATTATTTTGTAGAAACAGAATTGTTTATTATTAAATTAGATTCTAATAATAAATTATAATTAATAATTAAAATATAAACAAACACATATGCGTCGATAGAGTATACTCTGATAATTTTAACCAAACGCATATATGCGTCCGTAGCACTCAAAGGGTTTAATAGAATAACGAAACATTAAAATAATAATCATCAATAAGTAAGTATAAACAAATTTCAATATCTCTTATAACGAAATAACGAAGCAGGAATAAAATATGAAACAACAATTATCATTTGTAATATAATTTATTAGAAGTTAAATTTATTGTTAGCATTCTCTTCTTCATCATTTTATATTCGTTGTACATGATATATAATAAAATTTTCTCATCGATTTGATCGCATGTAAGAGAAGTGTATAATACAACGTGTGTTTTTGACGACGGTAAGATTTAGTTTTTTTTTTTTTTTTTTTTTTTTGCTGTAATTGTAAATCTTATAATATCGATTTTGGAAGAAAAATCAATTTCAAGGTCATCGATATATTTCTAACAATTCAACGATTGATTAAAAAAAAAAAAATAAATAAATAAATAAATGAATAATCAACAAGAATAAAACTAATTTAAGGATAAGTTTGTCAATATTGTGTGTTGGGTTAAAAATTGTTATTTTTTTTTTTTTTTCTTTCTTTTTTTTTCATCAAACCCTGAAAAATCTGTGGCGGTGCTTCTTCATTTTGTTTATCATTAATGAAATTGTGCAAGCAAGAAAATACGAATGTTTTTTTTTTTTTGTGTGTGTGTGTTTAAACTCTTCCAATTAGAGTCCAGTAAGCATCCCCCTCATCCCCTCCCCTATTAATCTTGACTTCGTGATGTGAATTTGTAATTGATGAACGACACAACGCATGTGATCACAGTAAAAGTCGAATGTTAACTTTAAAAAGTTAAGGGCTTGTTCTTGTTCCACTTGTTTTATCTGCACTTTTATCCTTTTTTTTTTTTTTTTTTTTATATATGTAATTTTTTTTTTTTTTTTAATATTCTCCCACTCTTGATTAATCCCCCTATCATCCCCTCCCCTCCCCTCCCCGTCCCGTTTTTAAATTTCAGAGCCTTAATAAAAATCTAATTATAAGATAATATTTTTGACGAACCGCGCCTGCGCAACTCGTCCTAGCTATTGTCTGTATGCAACAAGCGTATATTGACTATACGTTTTTTTATTTTTAATTTTTTTTTTAATTATTATTATTATATTATTATTATTATTATTATCTTTGTACTACAATGCTGACTTAGAAACTACTCTTTTTTATTTTTATTTTTATTTTTCTTGTCTAAAAAGACTCTACGTATTTTAGGTACGCTCTAAAAAAAAGTTTTTATTTTATTTTATTTTTTTTTTTTTTAAAAGCTTCCCGCCATCTCGTTTTTGATTTCTTAGTTTTTTTTTTTTTCTTTTAATGATAAGAAACAACGGGAATTTGATTCGAAAGATTTGTTTGTTTTTTTTTATTTCGAAGAATTGAAAATTTTATAGTTCGTTGATTTTACGCTAATAATGGCGCTAGTTGTGTGTACGCGCCATTTTGTATCGTATAATCGTAATAATTCGCATTACTACCGCAAGAGGATCGGTTATTTCTCTCTTCTTGTTTTTTTTTTTTTTCTTTCTTTTGTAAAGACAATTTTTAATTTGTATAAAGTCGAAATATTAAAGTAGTAATTAAGATTGGCGTGGTTTTTTATTTTATTATTCTAAAAATGCTGCTTTTTGCTCTCTTTTGAAGTCATCTACAAATGTCGTTTTTTTTCTTTTTTTTTTTTTAGAGCATTCTAATCATAAGTGAAGTTCGTCTAGTGCACGTCTAGTGTCATGTTTAGCGCTTTACCAAAGAATTATCATTTTATTCGAGAATTAATAATAGAGTCATTATTATTATTATTATTATTCTCATTGTTCGCAATCATTTTGTGATATAATCCCGTTGTCCGTTCGAGTATCACAGTTTATCGAGTATGATATGTTAATATTAGCGTTAAATCGATAGTAATAAAAGTGATTTTTATTTTCTTTTTTTCTTTTTTTTTTTTCTTTTTCTTTTCTTTCGTATATATTATTTAATTATATTGTATACGTATTATAATATGCGTTCAATGTCCGTAAATGAACTCACCCGTTCGACAATGAACTCATCCGATTGTATGATATTGCTATGATCATGTTATAAAATCGAAAAATACAAATTGCCAGTTTGCGTAACTAGGCGAGCAAAGATTTTCAAAATTGAGATACATAGTTTTATTGTTTTTTATTTTTTTTTTTTTTTTTTTTTTTTTTTTTACTTAAGTTTCGTTTAAAGCATTTAATACGCGTGCGAAGTATTAATTATTATTTTTTAATTTTTTCTACGTTTTTTTTTGTTGCGACAACCCTTCCCCCCTCCACCACTCTTTTAAATAGAAATATTCAAGTTTATCATGCAAAATTACAATCATCCTTTCTGTATATGTATATATGTTTGTGTTTGTATGTTTATAGAGTAAACGGATATTGTTTTGGCTCACCTAGTTACGTTTTCCCGCGTACGATATAATAGGTTAGAGCACTTTTAGGGTTGAATCAGAAACATACTGATGGTCTGTAAAGGCCAGTGTATCCGCATAATCGTGCACGTAATGCAGGTAACAATATTGCAGCTGCTGATAGATTGTCTTGCAGTTGGGAACATTCGCATATAAGTAGATACATCTTGTCACCCTGGGACATCGATTTGTGCAATGTTATTCGTCTAAGTCCAACTGATTTCGGTAAATATCGATACATCATTCTGGCACCTATAATTATTAATAATAATAATAATTATTATTATTTTCATTATATTAGATAATATATCATATACAGGTAACCTATAGTAACCTAACCTAACCTATAACAGAATTTCGGTCTAATATGATTTAAAAAAACAAAATGGTGGAAATTTTGATACAGCACTGTATTTTTAGAGTAATGGATGTGAGATAATGGTTGTTTAAAACATTTTAAAATTTAAATTATATTTTAATAATAATGATATGATGGAATATATTTTAAGGTATTTTTAAAACCTATTTACAGTCTTATAAAAGGGTTACCCATATATATATTTAACTATATTGTTAATTATATTATTAAAATAACAAATAAATAAATAAACAGAAATTAGATAGAATAAAATTACTTACTTACTTTCATATATAAATATATAATTATATTATATATATAAATTAAAAATAATTAATAAAATATAAATTTTAAATAATGAGTTGTCAAGTAAATAATTGCGGATTTTGTCGATAGGTGGCTTTTAGAAAATAATTGCGAATTTTGTCGATAGGTGGCTTTTTAAAATCACCAATAACTTAATTGCCAGCCTAATGTATTAATATATTTAATTATATTGTTAACTATGATATTAAATTACAAATAAATAAATAAAAAGATGAAAGTAAATAAGTAAATAAATAAAAGTAAATAAAATAATTAGGTAAGTACCACTCCAATAAAGCCAATTTTGTTCAAACTTGAGACCATCGTCACCCTCGAATACTTTGAAGATCGAGACAATGTAACCGGTGGACGGAATAGGTGGTCTACCACCTGGTGGTTCCAACGGTGGTCTTGCTATCGTAGCAACTTCGTTGAATAAATCCAATGTATGACTAGCAGCGTATCTAAGGTCACGTGGATCGAACTTTCTCAAGGCCGCGCATTGAACTTCGTTGTAAAAATCAAGGGGATCCGTGTTTTGTTTATTTATCAGATAATACGTTATGAACGGGAAATCAGCTGTAACATATAAATAATAATTTATTAGAATAATATTATTCAATTATTTTTGAATTATTTGATTAAATTAAATCGTGTTAACTTTGTATTATGATAAAATATGTTAAATTATTTAAAATAATATATAATATTGGGTTGGCAAGTAAATAATTGCAGATTTTGTCGATAGATGGCTTTTTAAAATCAGCAATGGCTTACTTGCCAACCCAATACATTTTGATAAAATCTTGTTACGTATTTGTTCAATTTAATTATGTTAAAATCTTATTTAAAAATTGAAATTAATTATAAATAATTTTGTTTTTGCTTATAATCAACTTACCATTCTTTTCCATATTCGTTAATAAAATACTTTGAGAAGCTGATGGTGCAATCTCTGCGACGAGTTCTGCAGCAGTGTCACGTTGCAAAACGAGAGGTCTTGAAACAGGTGACTCTACCAAAGGATCCAAGGGTTCCAAGGGTGTCATAAAATGTGCCAGAACACATTGTTTTGGGTCCTCTACCTCCAAAATCGAGAGCGGGCTGCCGGATCTTTTCTTGTCCGCTATTGGGGCGCTCTTTTAAAACATTGAAAGTTTATTTTTACAAAGAAAAGCACAAAACAAAAACCCTACAAATAATCCCTAACTCCTGATACTCCAGATTTGTCTAATTCTCACGAAGTTTTTTTTTTTGTGTTTTTTTAAGGTTGTACTTTTATCCCGTGTGTGATCTGCGCATATTTGTTTTGTAATTTTTTTTTTTTTTTTGGATTGGTGGGGTTTCATCAGTACGTAATAGAATTTTATGTTGTTAAATTAGAACTCGTTTGCGATTGAATTTTATTTCGTTCGGGTGTTTAGTAACACGAATAACACATACTTTCGTCTAAATTTAACTCAGTCAGAGACGTTTGTATTTACAAGGTTGATTCGCGTAGTTCTCTCTTTCTCTTTTTCTATTTGTTTCTCTTTAGTTACAAACTTGTGTATTCCAGTTTTAACAGGTGCATACTCGTTCATTTAAATTATCAAAGTACCCCTGTGTATATGTAACTACTTTTTTTTAGACATATCAACTTTTTCAACCTTTTTAAATAAGAATTAATTTTTTGACAATTTTTTTATGGCGGGAAAATATGTTTGTTTCCTTTTTCCTCTAACTGTACATCGGAAATAATTATTTTTGATGCGACCAAACCAAAAAATACTTCACTGATTGAGTTATCAAATGTTTGTTTTATTTATTATTGATATTAATTATAATTATAAAAAACTAAACGTTCACATATGTGGCCAAATGCGTGAAGAGGTTAATTTTATTTCCTATTGTTTTTGTTTTCAACTCGAAATAATTGTTTGAATTTAATTGAGAGTTTGACACCTACCGGTACACCAGCAGGTAGAAATCTTTCCAATGATGCTAGTGGTATGATGAAACAATCACGGTCCAATGTTGCTAAGGAAATTGGTTCACCACGTGGTGGACTATTACCGGATACGACAAGGGGTGTATAGGCACCGGATGATTTGTTACCGCTAAATGACACCTGAAAATAACAATTAACAAATTTCTTATTGATTCTATTCATTTTTTATTAATCGTGTTAGAAAGAAATCATATTTTAGCAAGTTGAAAACTACTGATTGGTTTATCTCAACTAAAGATGTGTGTAAACTATTAAAATGTTTTAATGGTTTTAGGTTATGTTCAATTTATATTTTACTATGAGCTTTTCAGAAATATCCTACGAACTTTTCGGAAATACCCTAACCTACGAACTTTTCAGAAATACGCTAGGAACTTTTCGGAAATATCCTAACCTACGAACTTTTTGGAAATACCCTAACCTATAAACTTTTCGGAAATACCCCAACCTACGAATTTTTCGGAAATATCCACCTTAAGAATTTTTTTTAAAGAATGCAATCGCCGTATAATGCACGATATAAAAAAGTAAATTAATTTACGATTAATAAATTAAAATATAAATAATAAATTTGTATATATAATTTTTTTTTTATATATATTTATTATTTTATTATTATTATTATTATTTTTATTATATTTTTATTATATTTTTTATATTTATTATTTTATTATTATATTATTTATTTATTTATTTATTTATATATTATAATATTGGGATTTAAATACTAACTCGTGTTACAGAATTTTGTTCTTTTTGTTTTTCTTA